GCAATTTTTTATTTATTCCTTTCTTGAACAATTCTACGAACTTTCCGTCTAATTGAAGTAGGAAATATAGAAAAATTATTGCAATTTTTTTATTTATTCCTTTGTTGAACAATTCTACGAACTTTCCAACTAATTGAAGTAGGAAATATAGAAAAAGTATTGGAATTTTTTTATTTATTCCTTTCTTGAACAATTCTACGAACATTCCATCTAACTGAAGTAGGAAATATAGAAAAAGTATTGGAATTTTTTTATTTATTCCTTTCTTGAACAATTCTACGAACATTCCATCTAACTGAAGTAGGAAATATAGAAAAAGTATTGGAATTTTTTTATTTATTCCTTTGTTGAACAATTCTACGAACTTTCCATCTAATTGAAGTAGGAAATATAGAAAAAAAGTATTGGAATTTTCTGTTTATTCGCGTTCGTTCGTGAAACAATCCTACGAGCTTTGTATTTGACTAAACTATAGCACTATGCCAATAGTCATCGATGAATTCGTTCCGCGATCTGTCAACCCTGGAATACACTTTTCTGTTACAGTGTCTGACCAAAGTGGGTCATATACTACTGCTGAATAATGTATCGAATCGATTTCATAACCCGTCAACCTGCAATTACAATTTTGCATCGGGCCGATCAAATGAACGAATTCAATTCAACTCATCAGACTGTCAACCCTAAAATAATGTAATCCAACCCCTTGCGCTGTACCAACGAGCCGGTTGATAAATATTATATATTAAACGATACGTATGTTACATATTAAATTTGCTCCGTTATAGTAGCTAATACGTTCTACGATATACAGGGTGTTCCAAAAATGTCTCGCATTCCGAAAATAAGGGGTTCCCGAGGAACCCGCTGAGGAAAAAGTTACGATGATAATGATCTTGCGAATCAGCACTTTCCGGGTGTTAATATAATTACGGGACACCCTGTATATTAGATATGAACATTATATTTATTATATTAGGTATGATAAATATTATATATTAAACGATACGCATGTTACATATTAAATTTGCTCCGTTATAGTAGCTAATACGTTCTACGATATACAGGGTGTCCCAAAAATGTCTTGCAATCTGAAAATGAGGGGTTCCCGAGGTCATTTGTAGCAAACCTTCGACATTTTCGCTAAGGAAAAAGCTACGATGATAATGATCTCGCGAATCAGCACTTTCCGGATGTTAACATAATTACGGGACACCTTGTATATGAGATATGAATATTATATTTATTATATTAGATATGATAAATATTATATATTAAACGATACGCATGTTACATATTAAATTTGCTCCGTTATAGTAGCTAATACGTTGTACGATATACAGGGTGTTCCAAAAATGTCTCGCAATCCGAAAATGAGGGGTTCCCGAGGTCATTTGAAGCAACCCTTCGACATTTTCGCTGAGGAAAAAGTTACTCTAAATGACCTCAGGAATCAGCCTTTCCCAGGTGTTCACATAATTACGAGACACCCTGTATATTAGATATGGATGCTACAATCCGAGATCTACGAAATTTATTTATTGTATCAGTCACTTCAAGTAACAGCAAAATTAAGAAAAAAGAGCATTTTAGTCATCGTCTAGTCCTTTTATCATCCAAAAAAGAGATATTAAAAATATAAATATGCAAATCATATGGTCGAATCTGAAAAAAAGTTATCGCACCGCTTTTAAGTTGCACGAATATTTTCGTGAGCCACCGTGTATACGTTCCCGCCGCCGACCCGATCGGGTCTGCACATCCCCGCGGCCTCCCAGGAGTCGCTAATTTTACGTTAAACCACCGTTCTTCCGATTCGATATTAATTCGAAGCCGATCGTAGCTTTCTCTAATTCATTCGTTCCGGGTTAAATCGCGCCGAAGCAGTTCCCGGCCGCAATAGGTGAAGCCAATTTCCACGTTCGCAAAAGTCCCCCGGCCCCGGCTGGGCGGCAGCTTCTAAATTCTATCCTCGGAACCGGCGCGGCGCGGCGGCGTCGGTGGGCTCCTCGTTTAACGGCGAGCCGCCGCGTCGATAATTACAATCGATAGGTCGCGAAACGAATCGCGAGCATAGTCGTTCGATTCGGCACGATCCGGTTCGGCTCGGCGCGGATCAGGTACGGTACGCGCCGCGCGTTGGCGGTCCATGCACGTATCGCCCGTTCACCCCCCGCCGCACCGCCGATACGAACACTCGGGCGCACGTATAATAGTCTTAATTAAAATAGCGGTCTAACGAACACCGCTAACTGCGGTAATCCGACGTGCCTCATTGGTAATCCCCAGACCGTGCCGGTGAACACGGATGCGTTACGTTGCCGCTCTCCCATGGCCTAACCATGGTGTCTGGACTGTGGTGTCTAATCATATGGCGTCTCCTTATGGTGTCTGCTCATGGCGTCTGACTATAGTCTGGCATGATCGACTGGCTTTCAGCACCGTCGCTGAGACAATAGACGCGTGTACGTACAGTAATTTCTCCCGGAAATGCCAAATTTCGGGTTGCCGTGAATTTCACAAAGGTTATTTGCAAGGGTTACTATAAACTGCTGTAACTTTGCGAGAAAAAATCGCAGCCGGGTTTCTGTTTTTTTTAATTGAAGGGGAAAGATCGAACTTCGTTCCGCTGCGAACGGTATCTCGAAGAGAAATTTTCCAAAGTACAATTGCAATTGCAAAGTCCGTGGAATTCGTCGAATTCGACGATATTCAATACGACGAACATGGCCTCGCATTTAAAGGATTACAGTGACGATGGTACATGGAACTTGAAATTCATAGTATAGTGTCTGAAGGTAGAGGTTCCAAGCTTTAATTTAAAAGGAGTGTCATCATCCTGCGACGATTTTTCACGGAGCTACCGTCAGTCGAAGCTGATCAATGCGCATTTCGTCAAATTTGGCAATTTTCGATGTGGCAAACATGGCTCCACATTTAAAGTGTTACAGTGACGAGGTTGCATCAAACTTAAAATTCATAGTACAGTGTTTGAAAGTAGAGATTCCAAGTTTTAATTTAAAAACAGAGTCGTCGTCCTAAGGTGATTTATCGCGGAGTTATCGTCACTCGTGTTATGTATTCTCTGAATTGCCTTCGAATCGAATCACGTGGCCTCCGAATTGCCTTCGAATCGTGGCAAAATATTAGAAATAAAAAAGTTAAGTCACCGTTTTTATTCTAGAATTACTATGTATTCATATTAATGACATTATTATCACTCGCGCGAACAAGAGAGATTTCATTCGAATAAGAATTCACTCAAATAAGATTTTATTTAAATAGTAATTCGTTCGAATAACAATTCATTTGAATAAGAATTCACTCGAATAAGATTTCATTTAAATAGGAATTCGTTCGAATAAGAATTCGCTCGAACAAGATTTTATTCGAATATATTCGAATATTATTTTCTATTAAAAACGAGCCGCGAGGCCCGAAGAATCACGACTCAGTGTTCTCGGATCTGCCGGTTTCATTTCCGACCTCCAAACATTTCTCGGAGAAATTACTGTACTACGACGCGACATCTTCTCGCCTAGCCAGCTGTCCGTCTGCAGAGCATCGTTGGGACGACGATCAACGCGTCCCGTCCGTGATACTCGCGCTTCTCTATGCATACAGGATAGAGGATCTATCTTCCGCGGGGCTCCTCTCGCACTCGGGTTAAAGTGTCCTAATGTGTTTGTGAATTCGGATGATTTATGGCGCGACGCGATGATCGCATCGCGCTTGAGAAGAACTTGTGCCAGCTTCCCGGACGGAGTACTAGCTTCTGAGCTAAATTACTTGTGCTAATGGTTCTCGACGGGATTATTTAAGATTTCGGGAAGAGCGTTGACTGCGGGCATCGAATTGGCAGTGTTGGATAACTCTCGAACGACGACTCGTTTATACTACTCGTTGGGATTTATCTTGGTTTGATGAACTTGGTTAGAAAAAGTATTTTATATTGTATCGTTTTGGTTCGAATCGATTGTTTGCCGTGTGAAATCCTGTACGAATGAATTCTTATTCGAATGAATATATATNCTGTACGAATGAATTCTTATTTGAATGAATATATATATATATATATATATATATATATATATATATATATATATATATATATATATATTCTTATTCATTTGAATTCTTATTCGAATGAGTTCTTATTCGATAAAATTCTTATTCGAATGAATTACTATTCAAATGAATATATATATTCTTATTCATTTGAAATCTTATTCGAATGAATTCTTATTCAAATGAATTACTATTCGAATGAATATTACTATTCAAATGAATTCTTATTCGAATGAATTCTTATTTAGATAAAATCTTATTCGAATGAAATCCTGTACGATTGAATTCTTATTTGAATAAAATCTTGTTTGAGTGAATTCTTATTTGAATGAATTCCCCCCTATATTCGAATGAGTTCTTGTTCGAATGAATTCCTATTATATTTAAATAAAATCTGATTCAAATGAATTCTTATTCGAATGGAAT